CATTACGTATTTAAGATAGGTATATGCCTTAGATGTGGCGGCAACTTCTTCCTTAAAATCGGCTAATCGGAAGTGCCACCTTATATCAACGCTGAAAAACATTTTCACAATTTTCTCAAAAACGGCTCTAACGATTTTGATTAAACTCGGTGTATCATTGTATAATTAACTGGTCTTTAATATCAATTAGGTCTTATCCCCATTTACAGGGCTTAAATGCCCAATGTTCATATACGTTTTCCTCTGAGGTACATTTAATACGGTTTATTTTAAAAAGTTAATCATTTCACATTATTCAAAGTAATGAAAAAATGCTAAATATAACTTTTGAAAAAATTTGATAAGTTAATAAAGGAGAAAAAAAAAAAATGCAGAAAAACCTCCGTTGCTATAGACTGTAGCACTTAAACGAATGTACCGATTTCAATGAAACTTCGTTAAAGTCATTTTCTCGACACACTTTAAATTTATCTATATAACATACTTCAACGAAAAGAAGCTGGAAAAAAAGTTACGAGGGATGGTAAAATTAAATTCCGAATAACTCAAAAAGTATACACTTTTTTAGGGATATTGTATATGATTTTTTAAAAGTTTATGGAATTTTCTAAAAAACCAAAAACAAAATCGTTAAGACCGGACAACTAGGAGGAAAGATATGGTCTCTAGTTTTTTCACTGAAGAGGCAAAAATTTGTATAAATTTAAAATATACTTTTTTAATTATTGAGACTAAAAAAACCTTTTTTCTACAGATATTTAATAAATTATCTTTCCTTAGAACATTTTTCATAAGGAATAAGTACCGTTTAATTACAAACGACGCTTGATTTTCAACTTGAAAATTTTTTTGTAAAAAAAGTTGACTTTACCGATTTTTTTTAATGCCTAAGCCAATTAGTTTTTAATATTTTTTCATATTTTATAATTCTCTGACTGATAGTGAATATATTTCACTTGTATTCACTTCTTTCTTTTGTAACACTAAATTTAAACCTTTGTTACTTATAGAATTATTTATCATATATTTCTATCTTAAATTATAAATTTAATACGGACAAGATAGTGAAATAAAAAGGTAAATATTTACTTACATATTTATATTGATGTTTATAAATTATCTCAATCTACCAGAAAAAAAGATGTAAGAATATAAAATTCGATGTAAAATCAAATTTCAATATGTCATTCTACAGATTGTGAAACAGGAAGATTGTCGGGTTCGAAGTTTTTACACGCAAGCGAATAAAATATGAAATAACATGGAAATCCGGTCTCTAATTGTAACATTTTATACTATATTGGATTTTGTTTCCTTCTGGACAAAAAGAGAAATCGATTGGTATATAATAACCTAAAAATGCGGACAAAGCATTGGCAAAAATAGATAAAATGAATTTTGTTTGAAATTATATTAAATATTTATTATTTTTCTCTTCTTCAAGGCCCATAAGAACGAACGCCGGATTATTTGTCCAATAGTTTTGGATGTAGTATCACTAGAAAATAAATTCGTTAAAATCGGTAACCCACTGACTGTCATCCTCCCTTGTCATTCAGTAGAAATAATAATGGGGACGGAACTAGTCGTAACAAAGATTATTCCTGTTGTATGTGGTAGGCAATGCGCTCCTAATTAACATATTAAAATTATACATCTACACCGTAGGAGGGGAACTTTTTTATCATTAAAAGCCGAAGTAAGGTTAGGCAGAGCTAATGGAGACCGCAATAATTCTTTATATTTTACTGTTGCAATTTTTATTTATCTCTAAAGAAACACACCCATGTACACACATTCAACTTAATTCTGTTAATTTATTTTTTTTAAATTTCTTTATTGAGTATTATAACAATCTGTCTGTTGGACATTGGTTATAGTGAGGTAGGATGACATTCACACCATATGTACAAAAAAAATAAAATAAATAGAACAAAATAATAATCAAAAGTATATACAATAGACAATAAAATAAAATAACCTAAAAAATAAGAAAATTAAAACTAAGGAAAAAAAAAATAAATAAATAACATGCATACCTATATACAATCAGGCGAGGGAACTCCAGGAGAACCCTGCGCTACTCTTCCAACCGCGTCACTGGTACTAAAGCCAGCGGAGATTGGTCGAGAGCACTTTAGCCACATACACACATGTCTTGATTGGTTAATTTATTAATGTTCGTTAGTTAAATAAGTGAATATTAAATAATTCTAGTACTATATTAATAAATATCGCAAAATAACATTTGGAGACCACATGTGGACTCCGAGGCCGCAACTATGTCACAGAGGCTATCTCCGTCCTCCGAGACAACGGTTCTCCACCTATGATCTTTCGCTGAAATAGGTAAAGCAAGTTTCTAAACTCGCCGCCAATCCATTCGTGGACATTAACAAACATTCTCAGCACCGAGTTTAGAAACGTGCTCTCTGTTCCATCGATGGGTTAAGGAACGGTTTAATAACGGTAATTACACTGGAAGAAAAAGAAAAAATCGACCTTATAAAATTATGTTTAATTGGTCCTTGGTGGTTAAAATAGATAATAAAATATCACGGCAATTACGGGGGCAATAATGCGTTTTGAAATCAATTTCTTTTATAATAGAAATTTCTTTTAATTTTTTTTTGCATGCTAACATTTAGTAGATGATGCACTATAATTTAAAAAGACTGTTTGAATACTTAGCTTCGATCAGTCACACAAACAAATGCATACAAATAAAAAATAATATTTTTGGGTAGGAAAACTTTCGGGCTGAATACCTTCACCCTCCCCCGCAAATCCGCCAGTGAACATGGAGATGAGATTTGATTTTGATGAAATAAATCTATTCATTGTGAAACTTTTTCACATTTGAATATTCTCCAATGTGAAATTTCGATGAAATTTTCATTACTTATCAAATTGGGATTGATAAAAAATCATAAAAAATGCTTCTTCGTTATCTTATCTAAGAATATTTTTACAGTAACTTATAATAATAATTCTTAATGACACTGCTGGCAATGAAGATTTCTTCATCTGGCCATACTCCTACTTTCCGTTCCTTTGTCAGGATTCAAGTCATTAGTAATAAAAAATAAATGGAATGAAAATTTGCTTCGGGAAAGAAAAAGCTAATAAACTAAAAGCAGTTAGAGAATCAGCTAATCCTTGAAATATTATACCCAGTATAAGAAAATAGGAAGTCTCATTGGCAAGGTTAAGAATCGGGTTCAGTATGCTAACTCAAAGCTATCTATTAGAATGGAAACCCCCACGAATGTGTACTGATTGCCAACTGGTGACTGCCAAACACTTATTGATAGACCATGAAGAACATCAAGACACCAGAAGAAGACTACGAATCAATAGAGAAGATCTAAGAACGTTAGATCTTCTCAATGCAGAATATACAGGGTGTCCCATAAGTAGAGGGAAAATTTTGATAGGAATGAGCACACATCAAGAACTACCAAAACGTACATATAAACAATAGGGCAATTTTCAGCAGAAAAGTAGGAAATCCAAGTTTTGTGGGGTTTTTTAAGACAGCCATGTTTTTTGTCGAATCAGAAACGATAACTAAAGAAATGCTTAATTCAAGTAATCAACAATCACTTCACTGTCACTAGACAAAATTTCTTTTAATTGTAAATTATTAATCATTATTAAAACCTTTTAAAGAGGGTATTTGAGCGACTAAAACAAGTATGTTCTGCTTTTAAAAAAAATCATAAATTATCCGTGATTTTTTTTACCATTATCCAACTATACTGCAGTTACTCCACTTTTAGAAAAACTACCTCATTTAATAAGATTTAATTTTATATTAATTAATTGAGGTTTATTAGGCAAAAATTTTTGATTCACCTCAAGTTATGGAAAGAAATTATGTGATTTTCTATCCAGTATCCTAGAAGTACCATAATGTTAAATAAATAAATTGGGAGTGAAGTTCAAAAACTTTTTAAACATAATAAAAATAATAGTTTTTACTTCAGCAAAATCTTTCAGTTTTCTGCCACAATTCAGTCATTCCTATTGGCTTTCAAAAACCAATATAACATTTTTTTTAACATGAAATGGGGTTTTACACTCTGGCATTGATCCTCGCCCTTATCTCCTGGCCCAGAAAAAACCTCGTATAGCCTAAATGAAGAGGAAGGGGATAACGAAAAAAATCCTATCTAAACATGAATAACATGTCATTAATGTCACTACAATATTTCTCCATGCTGTCTGTTAACAGTTTTATTACAGTCCGTTATTTCAAGTTTGTAGGTATCCCATCAGCTTATTATTTTTTTTTTTTTTGTAATAATAAACAGCCTTAGAGTGAGGGGTCTAAATTTACAAAGTTCTTCATTACACCAGAAAACGTAGCTATTGGACTTTAAATAAAGTAGCACCTCATTATTTCTTCACTTAACAATGCATTTTCTAGATGTTAAGCATTCCAAACTCCAATTAACAGTATTTCATCTCTTCCTCATGTTTGTACACGAATCACAGTTTGCTTTCTCATACTTACTTCCGAGACGAAATCAGAGAAAGCTAGTAATTATATTATTTTTATACTTCCCAGTCCCATTTTATCATGGGCAATGGAGGATGCTGTAGGATCAATAGATAATAGATGTATAAACAATATATATTGTAGTAGCCAAAGAAGATTGTAAATAATATGACTTCAAAGGAACACTACACTGTAAGTACTTATGTACCTTTTATTATTAGTTTGTTTTTGTTTTTTACTGAAATTTGTAGTATATATTAGTTAATCATTGAAAATTTCTACAAAGGTGAATTGCCAAAAGACAACTGAGTAGAGATGTTTGTAAGCACTATCTTCCACTTGCACTATTTGTCATTTTACATACGCACAAAACTTATAAGGAAGGGAGCACTGGGCAGTAGAAGTGGCAGGAACAAGGGCAGTGCAAGTTTGGTATTTACCATATGTAAATGAGGAGTAAGACAATAGAAAAAGGAAGAAACATTAAAAACAATAATTAATATATTATCACATAAACTGATATTTTTATTATTTACATAAAATTATTATTCACTATACATTCTATATATTGTTCTTAATTGTAAATAACACTATTGTTACAAGCACAATAGATTTTAAGTACAAATTAAAGTGAAATAATATTTGGAATGGAGTAAATATCACAAGTTGTTTACAATTAATTGATATGCTTCATTATCATCTATGAAGAGAACATCAGATAAAAATATAGTTAACAATATAACTCTGAATATATGTATATATGTACAATCGCTAATATCTAAAATCATATCAGTACTTTGACATACTACATTCAGACCAAATTCCACACAAAATTTTGACATTAAAAGCCCATTTAACATCTTAACTATGGCAGCTTTCCGAAGTTTAACCAAAATAAAATTCATAAAATCAGCAACATGGAAGATATTAATCGCTGACAAAAACAATATTTGTTATACATAATATAATCTCTTAGAGCAAATAATTTATAAATTTATTTTCATGATTGTAAGAAGTAAAAATATCAGTGAATATACACACTCTATACAACGTATAAAAACAATAAGATTTGTGAAAATATACATAATAAAATTGATTCTTAAAATATATAAATATAAAATATTCTAAACAACAGAAAAAATTTATAATTTATCAAAATTAAAAGTGTAAATAAATTATTGTCCACATAATGGAAGGAATGTGACAGCCTTACAGTTTCGCAGAAAATATTATTTAATGTGGAAATATTTTAAAAGTTATATCCCAGACGAAAATCCTAACTGTTGTAACAAGTGGTAACTAATTTGAGCAGAGATGCAAGCTAGTAAAAGATTATTAAAATTATCATGAAGACGATTAAGACTAGGTAGTTGTAATTTTTATAGTACATAAAATTAAGCAGCTTAACAAAGAAAGTAATTAAAATTTATGAAATTAATTCAATTTTATAAACTATTATGATAAATACTAATTAATTGTAAGATATTAAATAATCAGAACTACAACATTCATTAATAAAAACAAAAAATTGTAAAATATGATTTATAACTAACAAGTGATGTTAATGGATATAAAATCAAGAAATACTTTTCTCTTAAATATAAATTAATTAATATAATTCAAAAACATGAAGTAGCATAAAAAAAAATAACTTATGTTTTTTTTTATTAAAAAAGGTCTGTCTTTTTCAATATCCTGATATCTAAATCAATGCTGCTAATAAAAAACATACTGATATCAAATCTAGGAAAGTTATTAAACATGCTGGAATGTAATTAAGTGCACGAAGAAAAAAAAAAACTTAAATTCATAAACAGTCTTAGCAAGGAATGGCACTTTCCCTTTCATTTTTAATTTCTGATTTCACCTTTCTGAAACCAGCCAGAACGATTTATAGTAAATTTATCTTTTAATTACATCAACAATAATCAACAGTCTCTGAACATTGGAAGGCCATTGTAATCAAATTAAACACTTCTCAAAACAAGATGAGGCACTGGGTCATAGAACATGCTATTTAACATTTTTTGTAAACTGAAGTTTTTTACAGGATTTCGTTCTCAGAATCTGAAGGAGTTTGCTTTCTTTGAATTGTGATGTTTGTATTACAGTACGGTAAGTGTCTTTTTAACAAATGGAATGGAATGGAAATGTTTTTAACAAACAAACATTTAAGTTCGTAATTATTTTTTTCAGGAATCATATTTTATGACAAAATGCCTCAAATATTGTAGTAATTGATTATTCAAATATTACATCATTTTATCTGTAATAGGAAAATAAAGTAGTGAGCTATGGTACATTTGAAAATATTAAACTAGTCCATTTCACGGATAAGAAAATACATAAAATAGTAGTCAACAGGCAGATTTCATAACTGCATTAAGTATTAAATAATGATTTAAAAAACATTAGTTTTTCTAAAATATTTTGTTTTTATTTATATATGAAATATTATTATTTAAATTATTCAAATCCTTTTACAAATGATTTCTGATTATATATAGTTCATTGGAAATCCTCTATCACTTCTAATCTAATAGAGGTAGAAGAGGAGATAATTAGAAAGAAAGAAATGGTGAACATTTTCCCCGATATCTGGTCATCCCAGAACTAATTTACTCAGTCAATCATTTCCACAGTAAAAATTTATGATTTGATAATTATTCGGTTGGCGATAAATAATGAGGTAATATCCCAGAAAAATCTGTTCCTCAATGTACTAAAAATTTTAACAATGAAAAACATTTCACAATATTAACAATTTAAGATTTAAATGGAATGCACACAATAGTACTTGATCAATTATTAATAAACTTGAAGTAGATCATACTATACTCAATACAGTGATAACTTCTTTACAGAATTTTCTTATTCTACAATCTGCCAACTTTGCTGACTAGCTCCGGCATACTAATTAAAAAAGTTTTTCAATGTTTATTTCTAAAAAAATCAAAAAATAGTAAAACAATCTAGAATTAAATTTAAAAATTTGTTAACTAATATTTAAACTGTTATCAACTTTTACTACCAGGCAACTATGAAGAATACATTAGGTCAAGATCAATCGGTTCTTCGATTGATATTTCAATCTATGTTAATACAATAAAGTCTATAAAGGGTATTTATTAATTTCTATACACCTATATACAACATATTAAGCATCAATAATAACATTAATTACTATCTCTTTATAAAAACACATTATAAAAATTTGTTCATTTTTAGACGAGTAGATATTTTCAATCAAAAGAGCCTCTTAGAGGAGATAAGTTTTTTGGGGCTTATTTATCAGCTATATATACACAGGAAAACCTAGGATTAGAGGGCAACCTCCACAAGGAGGTAAAAATTTGAGCTATACTTTCGGTTGAGTTTCCCTGATGGTGACATGGGTGACAAATGGGCCAGGTTTGTACGGCCTGGCCTGGTACTGAGCTGCTGAATAAGGTAGCCCATTCATCTGTGATGGGTAGCCGAAGCCAGAAGAATAGCGACCAACTGGATTGTAGCCATTCAGTGTTACTGAAAACATACGTAACAGTGAATTATTTAATAATTCTAACAATAGATATTTATATAAATTAATTGATTCCAATACTTTGGTTATTTACCCAAATATTATAATCAATAAAAAAATAATAGGTGGTAGGAAGTAATGTCTAAATCTGGACTTCAATGACAATCATGATTTTTCTTGTACAGATTTTGAACTAGTTGTTTGTTTCATATGAAAAACTGGAAAACATGGGGCGGAAGTAAAGCGTAGCACTAAATATGAATTATTTCATGAAAGAGATTTATGTAAAAACACTAAATTAAAAAATAAATAACATACTATATTACATATGTCTTATTCTTAAAAAATATTTACATTTTTCTAGAGAATTCTTAATATTTTAGTCAACCACTTAACAATAAATTAGCCTTGCAATATGTTAATCAGTAAATGAAATGAAATGATAACTCACTGTGTTCACCAGGCCTCCTTGGCAGAGACCCAGCTTCGGTCTCACCCCTCAGGACAGCTTGAACTGATTCGTACTCGTAAAAGTTTGAAACGGGCCGGTGGACTGGTTCTCTCTGAGCTGCCCTTTGTGAATGGTAATGTTGCTGCCTTCGACTAAAATAAAATGGGGATAATATAGTATATCCAAAAAATAATTGTCAAATCAAATTATTTAGTTTATAAAACAATTTATTTTCCAGAAATATGTATTTAATGACATTACAGTTACTTCTAAAATGAAAGATCTACTATAGTGAAGCTATTAAGAGAACTGAAAAAGGATCGTTTCCCCCAACTCAAAAAGTTACACCTCGTTCCCACCATCGCTTGATATCTGTTAATCTAATTACCATGGGTGCAGTCGATGTTTGCAGAATACGCCAAAGATTTGTGATGGGATGTGGTGGTTAAGGCCTTGTAGCCAGGAATGAAATTGTTTGATTCATACCTCTTTGTTGACCCTAAACACTATCAATCCAGTGTCAACTACTGATAAATTTATGCATTTTTATTTTTATTATAGTTACCTATTTTTTATTTTTATATTATTTTGATATTTAATATAAAATTTTTTCCTCCATAATGGATAAAAGATTAGTGGCTAGTAGAGGTTTTTAAATGTCGACAAGTCTTTTATTTATTTGACTGTTAAATACAGTGAGTACATTTTTAAAATTAAAATTGTTCTATCTAAATGGCTGATCGTTTTTAAAAATAATCACTCATTAGGTGCCACAAAACGATTGATGGTATAGTATTTATGAAAAGAATTAAGTATTCACAATTTTTTTTTTTATTATTTATTACAGTTTGACAATTCGTCAGAGTGTCCAATTTCAAATATTGTCAGGGTTCAAGGGTAGCAGACATGGGTAGTACTATCTCAACCACCACCCATATCAATTCTATTATCGGTTACACTCTAGTTTTTTTTACATAATGAATTGAATAAACAATTCAACCTTATAAATGCAAATATATAATCCCACGAGTCTCTCACAATCAAAAGAGAAGAACATCCCTAAGGTCACGGATGTGATAAGTATATACGAAGGTAAGTAATCAGTATATACGAAAGGCTCAGAAGTAAGTTAATTCATTAGAAAAGTCACTGATGTATGAACATAACAAGATTGACTAACCAGAAATAAAATCTCTAATAGCTTGGTACAATATAGCACTAACGCAGGTAAAAAGAATTTATGAGTTATCTTTAAAATATGAAAAAGAAATAAAACAGACAGAATTGATGCTCTTAATCATTTTCGAAGAATTAAATATAATAAAGAAAATAAAATTCTTTGAAAATATCTTAAAAACAGAGAAATAAAATGGAATCAAAAATATTCTTAATGAACCAGTCAAGGAAAGTGTAGAAAAGAATAAGGCACACAAATAATGTAATATGCTTCGTTATATAATATTAATAATAATATTTTATTTATTCTAGGGCGAGTCCCATTAGAATAATATAGAAAGACAGAAACGTGGACTAAGGTGCCTCAGAGATACATAAACAAAAATACAATAAATTAAATAGTCATAATAAAAAAAAAATATTTTTATACACATTTTCTTGTTGTTCAACATTTAATTTAAAGATGATGATCAATCAGCATAATCTTTCTTTCCATTAACACTTGATAAATGTAAGTAGTTATAATTATAGAACAAATTGTATTTTTTTTTTTTAGGTTGGCGCTACAGACTATGAAGATCTTTGGCTGCGAGATATGTTCTCCATCTAGACGTATACTGCTTGCAGGGAGCACAGATACTCTGGAGGGGGTCATCCTACATTATGTTGCTATGAGCCATGGTCTCCATGGTGCAGCAGCAGCCAACCTGTAGCTTTACAGCCGATCCCTTTGGGGCCAATTTGGCAGTGTCCTTCCGACCGACTCACTTGGGTTCAAGGACAGTGACAAATTAGTCTAGATTGATGCATTATGGCCGCCGCAACAGTGTCAGACCTATATTTCTTCCCCTGAGACAGACCGTCCATGGACCACACCTAAGGGAGGCTACTGACATCCTCGTAAATTCCCGATTTAAGTATACGGGGTAGGGTCATCAGTCCTAAGCCCGGTCGGTGTGTTACATAAATTAGACTGACAGGCCTCACATACTCGGAGAGAGGAGGAGGGGGAGAGTCTCGGGCAGCATGGATTTCCCTTAAGGTCACCCATCCAAGTACTAACCACGCTTGATGTTGCTTAACTTTGATTACTTATGCGCCTTAGCCCATATGCCTACCCCGGCCCCCGAGCAAATTGTATTAACTAAGGTTTTTTCAATAATTAATAAATATGAAAACAAAATAAGTTACCAAAATTATTGTTATACAATATATATATTATTATACAATGTATAATATATTGTTAAGATATTAGAAAATTTTCATACAAAGCATTGAATCTGTCAAATACCAGTAAATAACCAACAAGTGAACATTTTCCTCATTCAGGTCAGGCAGGATATAAGAATAGAAAACTATATGATCTTATTTTTTCTGTCTGTCATGATGAGGCTATAATCGGTAAAATATAGCTTATTTATTTATTGACATTTGAGGATCTAAAGATTTTGTTTTAAAATCTTACAATAATATCAAAACACAAATAAATTTATCAGTTTTTGTACCATTCAAACAAAGATGAATTATCAAAAAGTGCAAATAAATAAGAGTAGATCAATTAATTCATTCTTAAAACACGCACATTTCAGCATCCTTTGGTGATTAAGACATATTTTGTGTTAAGGAAGAACAAAAGACATTTTGACTTCTTCACTTGAAGCCACAGGCGGATTTACGAGAGGGGGGGCTTTCGGGCTGAAGCTCCCCCAAAATGGTAAAATATAACCATGTTTTATAGGAAAAAATATTAAAAACTATCTCTTAAACTATTATTGTTCGTGTAATTACATTTAATATCACTTCAAGAATCACTAAGACAATGTCATATGGATAGTTAGTTTCTTTCTTTCTTTTTTTTCAAATTAATTATTGTTATATATATATATATATATATATATATATATATATATATATATATGAAAAAAAATCCTTCGGGCTGAAGCCCTTCCAAAATTAAATCCTGGATCCACTAGTGCTTGAAGCAGTGGTACAACAAATTTGCAGAAGTTTTGTGTTGGTGTGCAGAAAATAGATTCATGATAAACAGCATGATTCCAGTTTTTCCATAAATGATCTGAATGAGTTTTAACTTTGCTGAAATTTGGTAGAAATAGAAGATGTAATCTGCAAAGCTCAGATTATGGAAAAGTAGAAATTCATGCTATTAACCATAAGACCATATTGACAAGCATTAAAAAAATTCCCTTGATTTCTTGATATCAATAAAAGTTTAAAACATAATTCTAGATAATGGTGTTGCCTATGAACCTGCAGAATAGAGGTAATAAAATAAATAAAATTATCTAAATGAAAGATGAATTTTGAAGCAAACAACACAACAGGTTAATGAAATATAGGCTTCTGTTCAAAAAATTGTTATCTCTTTATATTTGACACACTACTGAAAATAAGAATCCATCTTTTGTACTATTTAACAAACAAGTAAACTTAGTTTGTTGGCATTAAGTGTATTAGTGGTTCTCAAACTAAAAATACTTCAATACAACCAAATCTTGTTAAATATAATTTTAAATTATTACTATATTATTGCTGTACATCAATCTACTTTTTATCATGATTCCTTCTACTATATTATGAACAAAATTAGTAACAAAACTAAACAAATTAATTAGGCAGAATATATCATATGAGGAATATAAATACTCTACAGTTAGATAATTACTTGTAAAGAAATTCAACTTTGACTGAGAGAATTGTTATGGATTAAAAATTAATAATTTATACAAAAAAAAAAGGAAACCTTTTGAAAGAGCATTTGAGAAGGTTAGAACTATAGTAACATAATTGAATTTTGGTTTATTTCTAGAAAGTGAAGGCGCTAAGAAAATAACAAATAAAATATGTATAATATACATCATAGTGATTTCACCTAACTTTCCGAAAATGTAATTATTGTAACATTTCTTACTGAATAATTGTAAATTTTACAACATTAAAATTAACAATGGATGGATGGATAAGAGTGTAATAGAATGACTAAAATAAACAAAAAGAGCAAAAAAAAAACAGATTTAATATAAGTTAATAATGATAATAAGTCTGTATTTTCATAGACAAGTAAAATGAAAAGAAAAAAAATTGTATTTATATTATATTATGTCTAATCACAAAGGATAAGAATTTGATATAGGAACCCAATGCATTTGAGAAGCATCACTTTAAATAAATTATTTCTCTCTCATATTCATCAACAGAATATAATATTAACAGAAAATGAATTGTGTTTATTTAATAGTTCAAATAATTTAAGTTATAAATACAATGATCTGGAGATTTGTTGTTTGATTTTTTTAAAAATTATTTGTTTATGATTAACTGTGTGATCAATAAAAAATGAGATAGTTCTGGAGTCAGAAAAAGACACAAAATAAGTGTTAACTATTTATTAAATAATAATAATAAACAGTTACCAGTCATTTGAGTCTCCTTTTTTTCCTGATCGAATCAAGGACCATTTCCTTCTTAAAACAGATTTAGTTTAATTTTTACAAGATGGACTTTTTTTTTAATCAAATTTTCTGTTTTTACATCAAATTTAACAAATGTTCTATGACCTTGTTATGTGATCACAATGCATGAAATAAAACCTTTTATTATTTTGTAAATCAATGAACATTAAAAAGTCATAAAAAAATATAATGTGTATGATTTAGTTAATTGTATATTGACCAGTAGTTAATGTTATCTTAAAATACCAGTATTAGATTTAGCATTTTGTGCAAAAATAATAAGCCAAGCAAAGCAGTGCTGTTAAGGCTGAGCCAAAGCATATAAAAAAAGTGTAAAATATGTTATCATATTCAAAATGAAGAACACTTTCTGAGGAAATAAATAAAATAATAATAATGAATCACTAAAAGCTTATAGACTTGAAGGTTCCACTTTATTAAGATAATAATATATAACAATGGAATCTCTGATATCCAGTATTAGCTATAGTGTAATTAATCATCCTTGCCAGTAAGAAATAAAAATTAAATTTTTTTTCTATATTAACATACTAATTTTAGAATAGAATTTTAACTGTGATCTGGGCCGCATCTATGTAAATCTTTTTTTCATTAATTATTATTTAACTAACACAATAATTAATATATTATTTTTATTCAATATGTATAAAAATTGAGTTAAGGCTAATCTCATGGATCAGGGTTTTGATTAATCAAGGTATTTAAATTGAGAATAGTGGTAATGACATCAGAACTTCAGGTCCATACAGCTTTTTATTATAATTCAGTTTAAAAATTATCCAAATATTAGATAGGAATTTATCTACAATATACGATCTTCAAAGACTTGTTGAAGATACCATTAATCACGAGAACAAAAAAAAAAGTTCAAAGTTAAAATTTTTTTTTCTGGTTCTTCATTTAAAATATGAATGAAAAAATTAATAATATTTAATAAGTGAATAGAGAACAGAGTAACCTTACCTTTCATCAGAGGATGAAGCCTCTTTTTGAGATTTTGGCCTTCGAAGTTTCACAGCAGCTATTTCTTCCCTGAGATCATGCAATAGATAATATAAAGCCATCATAATACAGATACACATTCTTAAGGACTGCTGATTATCAAATATAAAAAGAATGTCTCACATTAAATAAAATTCCTTGCTATAGGTGATTTTCTAACGATTCAGGTTATTTTTTTCAATAACAAAAGATCAAAACAAATGTGGCAAAACTGTAGAAATGAAAATAATCACAAATGCTTTAATATACATAAGACATTACTTAATAAGAGCCGGATAATGGAAATCAATAGCAGGTTCGAACAATAATCAGTATCTGTAATATGATAAATTAATAAGAAAAACAAAACAAATGAAAAAAACAATCACCAGATATTTTTGTTGACAAATGGTAAATTGAAAAAGTGCGTAAGTTATTGAAATGCATATTATAAAAATAATAAAAATGTGAAAAAGAAGTAATTCAAAATATATGTGCTACATGCTAACATGCAAAATTAGTTTATTATTTATGGTAAACCAATGTATGGGCAGTTCAAAGGCCTAATTTACCCTAAACAGAAAATCGGAACTATAAAAATTTTAAATGTGTTTACTTTTACAAGTAAACACATCACCAAAAGCAAGATGATATATCACATTTTTTCCATAGTTTTTAAAAAATAAAAGATTCATATTTAATTCTTTAACAGTAAAATCAAAATACTAAATGATATTTATTTAAATCAGCTCTCAATTAAAACATTATTTTTTATAAAAAATCATCAGAACCAAGATTTTAATTATGTACTATAAATCACTAAAATAAAGATGTCTCAAACTGTTAAACACAGATTAAAATTAGAATAATCTTAAAACAATATCCACAACTAAAATAGAGGGAGAATTATGCTTTAACAATTCAAGGTTCGGCACATGAAAAGAATTACTTTTTAGTCATATTACAAAATTTTATTGCAATACTAAGTTTTAAAAAATCCCATGTATTATTCATCAATTGCAGCAAATTTAAAACATATGTTATTATTAATTTACTTTAATATTACCGTAAGATGAAAACCAAACTTTTTAATTCATTTGGAACTTTTTATATTGTCTATTCTTTACCCTTTTCTAAAAGAATCATAACAAAAATTAAGTGTTATACAATTTAATAATTTTTTTATATAAAATTAAACATAAAAATCTTCTAGAGATTACTCTGCTCCTTCTTTTTATATTTTTTTGTAAAGTGACCAAGTCTTTGAAAAGCCCAGATATAAATTTTCTTCTCATGCTGATTACATATATTTTCAATTACCAAATCACCCTTAGAATTTAATATTAATGACCATTTTAGGAATAAGGAAGATTATATACATTATAAAGGGTTATAGTATTTAAAACATTTTATTGTCATCTGTAAATGTTATATTGAGAAATAAATATGTAGCCATGATTCATATAACATTTCAAACTTCATTGTTTGTTTTTTATTATCCGGTAATGGACTGTTATTAATTGAGTTTCTGCAGGCTACTTACATAATTTAAGTAATCACTTAGTCTTCTCTACTAATTTGTTGGGTTAAAAATAACATTAGAGATTGATAGAAAGAAACTAGGCCAATGTTAACTTAATATAAATCATGGCTGGGGTAGTTATGATGCATAATTTTAAACTGTGTAAAATGGCGTCAAGCTTAACTGTCAACATAGTAGTAAAAAAAAATCTAACATTTTTTTCTCATAATTTAGCCAATCAATTAAATAGTGGATTTGTTGGTAAATCATAAATATGTTGGTAAATCATAAATTTGTTGGTAAATCATAAATAGAAAATTTGAGAGATATAAATGTCCATGTTTGAAGGATAAATAATTTTGAATAAATTTGAAAATAAAATATACACCCCCATCCTCTAAAATGGCTCTTTGAAAATAAAATATTTATGACAACATATTATTTCATAACAGTAATAAATTATAAATAGTTTTAAAGCAGTGTTATTTAGGTGATTGGGCGATGATAACTTGGATGTTTTACACCCAAAACATCGAAACAACCAACCAACCAACTGTAATAAAATTTCTAAGAGATAAAAATAATCGTAATCAATAAACTTTAACGAGTTTAAAAAGAAAACAAGCATTTCAATTATAAATTTTGAGTTCAGAATCAACTGGGAACTGCAATAAGCCAGTCTTATTAGTATCTACCAAAAAATCCACAAAATACAGTTAATTATGATAACAAAGTAAAATTTTATGTTATATACCTTTAGTTAAAACCAAATAATCAATGTTAAAACATATTACTGTATATTTAAGTTTGTAAGGACATCTATTTTTTTTTTTTAGACTAATTGTTTAATACAAGTGTCAATGCGCTACTCTTAGTAACTTACTTGAGATGTTGTTGTATTTCGTGGTAGTTGACGTAATGACTGAACCTCGAAGGATCAGTGATTCCAACTCGACTACCAGGCCTAGTCATGGCATTTTCAATTTCACCATTTTCTAACTTCTGTAAAAAATTGAAAATTATTTATGGCGTATTTATAATGTCTTGATTAAGTTTTAAAGAATAATAAGATTGAATTGAAATATTAATAAAATGATATAATAATAAAATAAGGAATTACTATACCATCCGTGTTAAAGTATTTCTTATTTAAAAAACTCTAATTTAACTACAAATGCTGAATATTATTTTTAAACAAAATAATAATAATAATAAACAAATATGTAAATAAATCCAATAGTGAGCGCCCAAATAAGTTTTACTATATTTATTTTAGAAAATACCAAATTAATCTTTTTAGGAATTAGGAAAAAACTAATGAGTCAGAAGCATTTTACAAATTGACAGTACACTTTACCAACAATAATTCAAATTATTGTATTACGTAAATTTTCCAATATTCTGGAACTGAAGCTACACCTGGTGAATAATGGGTTAAAGATCATTCAATACCAAAATATATTTCTTGCATTGGCTTTTAAACCACCTCAACTATTCTTTCCTATAACTAAGTTTTAAAATTTAGATTAAACAAAATTTAAAGCAAACAGTTCTGTAGTATGTTTGTTAATTTCATCTACTTGTTCTTGATCTTTCAATATTACTATACACCTGTACTAATGTTCAGGTGTACTAATGTTCATGTTTTAGAAGGAATGCTTGAAGACTGTTGAAGAAGAAAGATACATGAATCTCTATTTTTATTTTTATTTTTTTAGGGATTATTATTCTTACCCGGCACATATAATCAATTTACTTTCTTTGTTCTCAGTATCTCCAATTTTTTTTTAAATAATTATTTATTATTTTTATTAAAAACAAAATTTCAAATTATTCTCATCAGTAATACAATGTACTTTGAACGTATGAGACGTCTAGAAAAAGAATAAGTCAAGAAAACTCATGGTTTACTGAAAAAAAAAAAAATATATTGTTATTCATTACTACTAACCAACTATACTAACCTGTTTTAAATGATGTTCATACACTTCTTCCCGTTCGTCAAGTGGGTAATGACCCCTTCGCTCTGAATGTCTCCGCTGATGCTCTAGCCTCAGTTGGTTTATCCTCTCAGTACGGGAAGGCTCAGTGGTGGGTAAAGAAGAATATTTCTCATCCTCGACTCGGATATGGAGTTGTTGCTGTTTATCCCTCTGTTGCTGTTGCTGCTGTTGTTGCAACTGCTGTTGCTGCTGCTAAACAAATGATTCAATTAAATATATAGCTAAATTTATATACTTTAGTTTATTACAAAGAGTACAAAGTGCCTTTTTTTACAGAAGTAAACATGGAGAAGATATTTAATTTTCAACCTTGTTTATCAATGCAAAATACATTAATTGCATTGAAATGACATAAGTCCTTTCATATATGAAACGTAATAACCATAAGTTGCTCTATTAATCAAAATACTTAATAATTTTGTTATATGAAATGTTACTTTTCTATGAGCAGATAATATAATTGTCTTATATTTAATTTTATTAGACAATAGACAATAATTTTACCTGATATTCATGTTGTTTCATAATAAGCCTCCTATATTGTTCCTGTATCCTTTCTTGTTCTTCTTTAGCAGCTCTTCTTGCAGCTTCTTTCTCATCCTCAGGGTTACCAGTAGGTATTGTGTCTTTTCGTTTTGCACCAAACCTATTTAAATTACAACAGAAAATCTATGCATTAAAATGTCCATACTTTTTTCTTTATACTTTAAAACATTACATCACAGTATACATTTCAGAGCACTATTTACCATCTTTAGAATCATAGTAACTGTTAATAAATAGGTCAAGATGATTTAACCAATTGTTACTGAAATACTTTCTATGAACTTGCAATAACTTCTCACAAAATTCGAAAAACAGTAAGTTGAATCGCAAAAATATTCAACTACAGTTAGTTATATTGGATTATAATTACACCAAACTCCATTAATTAACAAAATTTTAAAAAGAAATATACAACATAATCGATTAATCTGTAATTGATTTATTCAATATATATTTTGCATTAAAAGATGTTACTGGACAGTATACCCAGAACAACTCACATCTCAAAGATGGTAAAATTACACATCTATCGTTTCTGAAATAACCGATTCATTTATGAAATGTGTTTTAATTTTTAAAAATGTTTTGGCAAAATGAAATAAACATAAGAACAAAAATCTTACATTAAATGTTTATCTGTTAGTAACAAACAGTACTTCTTTGATGTTACTTTATAGAAAGTTATTGAGTTATAGAGAAGAGCCAGTTAGATTATTAGCATGCTGTTTAGAACAATAGTATATTCTTTCAATTTTTTTAATGCTTAACTAATTTCGCATTTTGTACTAGGCCTTCTCAAAGGAAAAAACAGTGAATAAGTATTTTTCCCTTTTCATTTCATACAATTTTGTTTCATAACATCAACTTTCTTTTTTCCAAAAACCCATTTTTTATTTCAATTATTGCACGAAAGATTCTAGATATTTATTTTCCATTCACTCTTATATCTGTTTTTAACATGCACTTTAATTAATATCCAATATCCAGACAGAGTACGGAAGACAATTCTAATGGTGGTGCATTGATGTCTATACAAGAATTTCAATAGTAGAAAAAAAATTCAAGGAACTTATATTTAAAAACAGTTGTGATGTATTTATTTGGTAAAGAAACATTTAAATTTTCAGACTCTTATAGATTTGAACTTTTCACATACCCGTAAAGAAAGTTAACATTTAAAAACAATGATTTCTCAATTAAATCCTTATAATTTCCAATTTCTTAACATATGAGATATCATTTATTGATATTGGTTGTAATTAAATATTTGTGTTTAATTAATTAATTGTTTGTGTTTTTTATTTCTAAATGTCAAATTTTTTGAGTAAATTATTTTGCAGTTTGAAACAGGTTCTCAAATATCAATTCTCCCAACTTTTTAAATTCAAATATAAAAAATATACACTGAATCTATACCAATGTCTCTAGAGTGGTATAAGATAGTTGTAAACAGCACTTCCATTCGCAATGACCAAACAAGCATTCAAATAAATTATCTGATATGCTCTGAAAGGGAAAGAATGGAGGATTATCGCTTATGGTGGAACCAGAAGTATTTGTAAAAACATTCATTAATAAGGTTCAAGAGTATCATAATGAGTAATTTACTTTTTTATTTACTTCTATAAATAACTTAGTTCTTTTTTTTACCCTCCTTAAAAATCATAATCAGAACACTGTTAAAAACTAACCTGAACATAGAACCAATCCCTTTTAATAGACTGGGTCGTTTCTTCCCCTTACTGGATTTACTTTCTAGGGAGGTATTTAAAGATGGTTGCCTGCCAAGAGGACTATCTTCGTCTTCTGCCACTGAAATAGATAAGAGTTAATCAATAGAAATACTAAAGAACAAATCATAAAATTAATTGAAACGTTTTAAAAAAAAAAAATCACAGATAAAGATATGAAAAAAAGAGGATTTTCTAAAAAAAGTACTGGCAAAATCACTGCCTTTTTAATTTCTTTTAAAGAGACTATATTATTTAAAGGATGAAAAGAAGTAAATTAGCATTAATATAAAATAAAGATAAATAATTTTAAATAATATTTCTTTCCTTACATGGATCAAGCCTGTCAACTGCAGCTCTAAAGCTTTCATTACAACCTCGGCCTCTTACAATCCTGACTCCAGTCTGTCCAGCTCTGTATCCACCACCTTCCTCTTCAGTCATTTGTAGCTAAGAGAACAGACGGGCATTGAATTTATCAGAAACTATCTAATAATAAAGATACAACTTAAAAAATAAATTAATGGTGGAAAGAAAAAAAACAAAAACAATAATTTGTTACTACGCAACACTCACAAAAATTTGTTTTTCAAATAAAACACCACATATATGATAGTGTAAAAATACTTGAGGAAGAAGAAACAAACTTCATAGTAAAGATATGAATTTTGACCTTCTCCATAAACATAAATTAACTACAATAAGATAATTGTTACCTCTTGAACCATAGTTTGCAGTGATTCAAGACTTGACGATTTTTTCATTCCGAGTGCTGGTCCCAATTGAGGTTTGATATTAGGATCATTATTGTTATCTATAAGAAAAAAATAGGTAGTAAAATTCAAGATACAAATAAGTAGTAACAACAATAAAATTGACTTTTGATAAATACAATATAATCAAACATCAAAACATTTATAGATTTCTTTTTTTTATTATTTCTGTACAAAACAGCTTGGATCTATTTATTTTACTTAACTTTTTATCATTTGTAATAAAATTGAATACTTCTTTAGAACAGCTACGAGAGTATATCACCAAGAAATTTAAAGTTACTTCTCATAAAAAAAAAGTTATGAGTTCATTCTTGAAAAATTACACATCATATATTTTATATTTCTGTTGAATAACTTTATTAATTATACATCTTCATACTTTGTAAATACAAAAATTTTAAATTGTAATTGATATTAATATGTATTATGTGACATCTTAATCAGAAAAAATTGCAAATTTTTTGTATAACAGTTAAAATGTCATATATATATATATTTATTTTTTTTTCTTCTTCAGTAACCTTCAAGTTCAATGCATTGAAGTTCATTATATATATAAGCACTTAAATATTTCTTCTGAATAAAATTCTTACTGTAAATATATTTTTTTTTAATTTTGTGGCAACAGTTAATTAGAATAAAACATTACACAATGATTTTTGCTATTTTAAGAAGTGATGAGAGAAACTTGCACACTAATTTTATCTTCTAATTAACTTGATGAAGATTAATCTAAGATTGAAAGGGCTAGCAAGAAAAATAATAATAAAAGATGATAATTTTTTCCTCTCGATTTCAAGTTCCTTTTATACCAGCTGTAATCTAAGAAAATATTGTGTTATAATATCTAATTTACATTCCATACTACATTTTTGGATGCTTTCACTTTATTAATAAATAAAACCTTCTTAGGTTAAATTCTGTAACAATTCTGAGCAGGTTGTTAATAATCTAATAGTGGTTAATCTATTAACTACAAAATCTTTAGGAGAAAATAATCTTAAAAATTTCATAAAGTTTCATTACAAGAAATATATAATAAATATAAATATAAATGAGAGCCAATCCAACTAGAAGTTATACACAGCCTTGCCATTATAAAGTAACTTTTTACAATGAAATACCGAAACCAATAATCATAGAACTATAAATATACACAATAGAAAGCATAGATATCAATTATAAAAACTTATTATAATTTCAAGTAAATAATATTGTTGATGATCCATATTCTAATTTTTTACAATATCAAGCTGTTATATGAATCTATATATATAAAAGTATAAATTGAAAATAGCATAAATGTTATATAGTGCCTGATATTAAAAAACAATATGTCATAACATTCCTTTTCTCATGAGTTCCAAAAAATGAAGCCCAAAAAACACGAACAGATCATCTAACTGGTTAACACTGTTTTGTTATATATTAGAAAATATTTTGATCCATTATTTTGAATATTTAAACAAATATATAAATAATGGAAATTGTTGAATTACCAAATCATTATTAAAACAATTAAAACTTTTGTTATAAATTGAATAGGTCTGCTGTTGAGTTAAAACAATAAAGGTACGGCAAAATAGCAATGGAGAGACAAATAACAGTTAACTTAGAACGGTTTGAAACAAACCAGCTTGTTTATAAAGTTGTTTCGCTTTTACTGACAATTAACTAAGAAATTCTATTAATTAATTATATGATTTGAAAAATATTAATAAGATTACCAATTTCATTTTTTAATTTCTCTATATCTTAAAAAATTAATATTTGATAAAAATTTGATTCCCTAGTTATTTTCAAGATTCATTAATGAAAAAACGATATTTGTATTGTTTTCATCTACTAGCTAATAACTCAGTCTTAGGATATTAAAGCACTATTTTTACCAGGTTTTCTCATGAGTTCCAAAAAATGAAGCCCAAAAAACACGAACAAATTAAACAATTTTAGGAGATTGGCAGTGTAATGTATCTATCATTAGTACTTAAAAAATAGAATAATAAATATTTCTATTAATCTATAAATAAGGTTATTGGGAGTAATAAAACATATTCCACTTTTAAATATCTCTTAAGCAGCATGTAGCAGAAACCAGTTCATCAACTTTTGTAACTTATACAAAAAATCGAGTCATTGAAAAAAATGGAATAGAAAAATAATATTTTTTCCAAAAATTAGTTTCACGAAGTTTTACTAATTAATTTAAACATATTATCCATAAACTAAAATTATATACATAAGTTTTGACAAGATAACCATGTATAATCTCTAGTTGATTAGCAAATTATAATTTGTTTTTTTAAATAAGAGTATAGACATACTTTCTGATTTGGCAACCGATTCTGCTGAGTTGACTCTGTACAATCCTGGACAATTGGACAGACAAAAAGCGGATGTTAATTTGACAAAAAACAGCCAACAAAAACACAAATGCAACATGCATAAAACAAACCAATGCAAGCACACATCAATCATAATAATTTTCAATTTACGTGACTGGATCAAGATTTAAAATTTATGTTCAAAATATAAAACCAACATACACACATAAGTGTATAATAGAATAATTAAGTTTAATAAATAAATGTAATTAAGTACATACAAATTATAGACACCGAAATAAAAATAAATGATCATATCAGATAGTTCCAAACTAATCAGGAGTAGTTTTTCTCAATAAATATTTACTAACTGCATTAAAAATAAATTTTTTTTTCTTAATTAATAAAGAAATTTGGCACAAAGAAAAATTGAAAAAAAAATAGACCACTTTTTTTTTATCCCACTGAAGTGATTTGGAAAACTATAAATCATGCCATTTGTTCATAAACATAACTTACTCTATTATCTGATCAAGTTTTAACAAGTAAAATTTCAATATCTATTTTATTTCAAAATGTAAAATATTTTTGTCAGTAACTATTATTATCTCGGGGAAATAGATATTAGTGCCACTAAGGAAATAACACAACAAACATGTTAAATCTAATGTCTATAATCTGATGTTTATGAGGAATTGTTTTTACTACAAATAATTAAAGAAATAAATAAATGATCCAATCACATATAATTATAATGAAACTACTTAACTATATTAAAGAATAAAAGAAATTTTCATTCATAGTGCTAATTAAAACTTATGTTATTGAAGTGCTAATGATAATAATTTGAGTGTTATTAGTGTACTGTATCTTAAGGAATCGTTTCATACTACATCAAAATTCATGTTATCCAAACATTAGGAAATAAATGTATAGTTTTATCTAAGTAAAATACTACAGTTTTTTATGTATATGGTATTCTATTCAGGGCAGAAGCAGATCTGTACTTCATTTATGAATTTAATTTAAAATAATAATAATTCCGCAATGTATTTAATTTTATAATAATATTAAAATTAAAATCTATTTCATTTTATGGTCCACAAGTATATAAACATTAAAAATATAAATATTTTTTTTGTTTTAAATTTCTTTAAATAACTTGTGGTTGAAATTAAAATTTTTCTTTTATAATTTATGACCTAATTTAAGCAAATACAATTTTAATCAAAAAATCTAAAATTTTAATTACATCTGCCCTGAAGTTGTTTTTCAATGTATGGATTTAAGTTTAAATTGTTAATGTATAATGAAACTAATGAATGTTTCACACTATGCAATTAATAATGTATCACATGGTACCAAGCAATTTTAATATGGATTATTCTCCATGAAACTTGTCAAATTCGCATCTTTCAACTAATCGGAATCATTTGATTGTTAATGTGATATTTATGGATTGCTTTGAATTTGGGTGATGTAAATTCTCATAATAAACTGGATTCATCCTTTGATACAGACATATTATGACCGAGTGAACTCATAATCAAAATCATGATGATTATTTTTATTCAATCACAAGCATATCAACTTACTTTAGTTTTTTCATCCTTTGTTAATCTCATTTTTTTATAAGCAGCCATAATAAAAAGCACTAATAAAGACGTTATTAAAAATTAAATATTTTATTTTATTTTCCGAGAATAATAACTTATCAAACTATTTCTTTAATTCACTTTTCAACTATGGTTCTGTTTATTAATTAATTAATTAGATTAAAGGAACACATATTACTGAAAGAACTTCTAATTAATACTGCAATAATCAGCTGATAAGCTAAATTAAATTTTCCTTAGAAAAAAAAAATATATACAAGGCTAAAATTAGAGTAAAATATAAATAGCCAAAATTAGATATCCCACTCTTTTTGAAAATTCAGTGAGAACTCCCAGTTTTTCCCCAGAACTCTCAAAATTCTCAACACATTGATAATAAGGAATACAGGAATTTAAATAAGGAAACACGCATAGAAAAGAGATGTCCTAAAGTAAATAGTAGTTTGTGAAAATCTACAGTTTTGTAAATCGTAACAAGTTTGATGAGAATGACCCATATTTGAATGTTTTATCTGTTAAACTGTCTTGTTATCAAATTTAAATAACTAGATTATTAATTTGTTTTATAATAAATAAATATACAATAATAAAAAAATCATACAAATCAATCAAAAATGCTGAAAAGATAGTCTACAGTTCAAAATGCAGATTTGACCAAAAGAAAATACATACTTGCTTCCCTATTGGCTCTCTCCCTTTCCTCTCTGGCCCGTTTATTCCTCTGATAAGTGTCTGTAGTTTTGGCATCTAAAGCAGCATGACGTTTCTCAGACATACTTTGCCGCCCGAAAGCATCACGAGCAAAACCTCCTCCTTCATCTAATGAAAGTCTGTAAGCAAAAATTTATTATTTGACTCTGAAATAAATATTTTATAAAAAGTCAACAGAAAATTTAATATTATTTAACTTACTGGCTGGCATATGTTATATCGTTGTTAGTCTGAGAACTACTGGTGCTATTTCGCTGTTGTCCATTGCTTATTTTTTCGTTTTCACCATTTCTCCTAAAAATAAAAAAGGAAAGTATAACAATACTTTACTGGAAACTTTAAAAAAAGTTTATTCCATCTGATAGTACAGATCAAAGATCCTGAAGAAAACAATAACAGAAATAAAGAAAAACATAGCAATTTGTTTTTTAAAGAATGCGATATGAACAATATAACGATAATTATTATTATTATGTATAATGATATATTTATTTTTATTACATATTGTATTCATTGCTATATTATTATAATATATTTGTTATTTTTATGATGCACTTTTCATTTTTTAATACTTGTGAATTTTCAACTGCTCTAAATAGACAAAAGTAAGGTTGGCACTATTAGCGCTGTCCACTTTTTTACCAGTGTTCCTTTTCAGAAAAGATATGATTAGTTTGATATTTGGAAATATATCACTATCAGTAATTATAGATTGGTTTATGTAATAACAAAGTTAATAATATATTATTATTGCATGATATGAAATATGCTCTACATTATACAAGAAAAAAAAAAAAAAAGATGTTTAAATAAAATGACTGATAAAAATATAAATAAAAATTTTACGTTAAATAAGTAGAGACATCCACAAGTATCAAGTATTACACGGTGGGCCAGACCCCCTTACCGTGCACCCCCCCCCACATCCCTATAAATTGCATATCGTTGTGTTCCTTGTGACAATTTATTAAAAAAAAGCCAATGTTCCCACAAAAAAAAGTGAACGAACTGCCCCAAAATGGCGTCCAAACATGGCGGATTGACGACTTTGACTTTAGTTAGTTTTTTTGTTACTGAGAATCAGCATTTGGCTTAATTTAATTATAGTTGGTCTTTTATTAAAGCTGGATAGTTAGAGAATAATAAAACATGAAAAAATATTAAAAAATAATTGGCTTAGGCATTAAAAAAAATCGGTAAAGTCAATTTTGTTTACAAAAAAATTTTCAAGTTGAAAATCAAGCGTCGTTTGTAATTAAACGGTCCACAATAATGCAAAATGTGCTGAAATAAAACATCTGGAAAATACATTTCTCTTTCTAAAACACTGATTACTTTTTAAAATATTTGAAGTAGTTCCGTATAAAATGTACTTAAGCGGCAGAAAAGCGCTACTGGCGTGGATGCCTACAGGCCTCTACCACACCACTCAGTACTCATAAATGGCTTAGTTATAGTGCTATAATAACGTTTTTGTTATATTTTATTGATTATATTAACGAACAAATATTAATAAAATAATTTAATTGTAAAAAATTTTTTCATTATTATTTTTTTTTTAATTTAACTTCATTTATTCTATACGGAGATCGCTTAAGAAGTCCTCTATTATAACAATTATAAAATTATAATAATAAAACTTAATTCAAAAGTACTTAGCAGAATATCTTGATTTTTTTATTTAATATTTGCAATTTAACATTTTGTTTTATATATCTACTGATTCTTAGAGGTAATTTAAATTGTATATACTTCCCCGGAAATGAGTCATATTAATATCTGTTTTATAAACTAAAGTAATATATACCTAATCTGAACTACTTTTAATGAATAGGTGATGGATTGTTTAGTAAAATTGTTATATCGCTATTAAAAAAAACATTTTTATTTCCTTTATTTTATTTGGAAGTGGGACCATATCATAAAAAATAGGAACTTTTAATATTAAAGTGCATTATTCCCTCTGCACAAATGAAATATGGAAAGGGCGAAGCTATAAGTTCTTCTAGGTAACTGGAACTGATTGTTAGTATTTGGTCTCAAAATGAGGGAAAACGCGAAATTGAACCCAAACATTGGAAAAATACATTAAGCGAACGACAGTGCCAAAATTTCGGAAAAGAAAACAAGGATCGGTATCCATTATATGGCTAAGCGAATAAACAGTAGACAGATGAACAGAATATTTCAAGATGCTGCTAAAAGAAGGTAAAAATGCTTGATGGGTTTGGATGATGTTAAGCAGGTTTATTATGGTGAAGAACACTTTATCAGCAAGAAAGATTTGCTCTAAGCAATTGGCAAGCAGGTCTGGAGGAAGTAAACGAGGTTGATAATGATGTTGATGTAATGTAAGGTATAATGTTGATAATGTTGATGTAAACCACTTTATTTTAGATTGCTATTGAAGTTGTACATTGGGACTATCTTCACTTTGAAGCAAGTTATACAGAGGTCTATTGATAAAAGGAAATATCTCTGCTCCTCTTTAGTGCAATTGCAAAAGATTTTTGAAGGAATCTGAAAGGAAAACGAGCTTTTGTGAAAGACTAGTAGATATTCGATCAATCCAAAGTGTGAGGCACTAAGCAGATAGAGAACCATTTTTCTTTCTCTGTGGACTTCTCTATAAACTACCTAAAAGTGAAGACAGTCCCAATTTGCAACTTATGCTCCAATGTGCAACTTGAGTTTCTCAATCCATATCGCTCAGGCAATCGACAATATTTCTAATTTTAGCTTATACGATTCTTGAGTAGACTTTCTTTGGTACTATAAACAGTAAGGAATCTCGAATAACATTTCCTAGTATCTCATTTTCTGCAAAGGGACAAAACTACAGTCCTTTCATATAATTTTCTAATACATTTGTATCCTTTGTACGCACAGCATTTAAGGTTACTTCGTCCAGACCAGCTGACTTGCCAATTGCCTAGAACAAATCTTTCTTGCTGATGAAATGGTCTTCACCATAATAAACCTGCTTAATATCATCCAAACTGATCAAGCATTTTTACCCCCATTTAGCAGAATCTTGAAATATTCTGTTCATTTGTCTACTATATATTCGTTTAGCCATATAATGGATACTGATTCTTGGTTTCTTTTCCGAAATTTTGGCACTTCATTTGTCGTTCGCTAAATGTATTTTTATAATGTTTGGGTTCAATTTCGCGTTTTCCCTCATTTTGAGACCAAATACTAACAATCAGTTCCAGTTACCTAGAAGAACTTATAGCTTCGCCCTTTCCATATTTCATTTGTGCAGAGGGAATAATGCACTTTAATATTAAAAGTTCCTATTTTTTATGATATGGTCCCACTTCCAAATAAAATAAAGGAAATAAAAATGTTTTTTTTTAATAGCGATATAACAATTTTACTAAACAATCCATCACCTATTCATTAAAAGTAGTTCAGATTAGGTATATATTACTTTAGTTTATAAAACAGATATTAATATGACTCATTTCCGGGGAAGTATATACAATTTAAATTACCTCTAAGAATCAGTAAATATATAAAACAAAATGTTAAATTGCAAATATTAAATAAAAAAATCAAGATATTCTGCTAAGTATTTTTGAATTAAGTTTTATTATTATAATTTTATAATTTTTATAATAGAGGCCTTCTTAAGCGATCTCCGTATAGAATAAATGAAGTTAATAAAAAAATATAAAAAAAACAAATAATAATTTAAAAAAAATTTTTTACAATTAAATTATTTTATTAATATTTGTTCGTTAATATAATCAATAAAATATAACAAAAACGTTATTATAGCACTATAACTAAGCCATTTATGAGTACTGAGTGGTGTGGTAGAGGCCTGTAGGCACTCACGCCAGTACCGCTTTTCTGCCGCATAAGTGCATTTTCTACGGAACTACTTCAAATATTTTAAAAAGTAATCAGTGTTTTAGAAAGAAAAATGTATTCTCCAGATGTTTTATTTCAGCACGTTTTGCATTATTGTTGACCGTTTAATTACAAAAGACGCTTGATTTTCAACTTGAAAATTTTTTTGTAAAAAAAATTGACTTTACCGATTTTTTTTAATGCCTAAGCCAATTAGTTTTTAATATTTTTTCATGTTTTATTATTCTCTGACTATCCAGCTTTAATAAAAGACCAATTATAATTAAATTAAGCCAAATGCTGATTCTCAGTAACAAAAAAACTAACTAAAGTCAAAGTCGTCAATCCGCCATGTTTGGACGCCATTTTGGGGCAGTTCGTTCACTTTTTTTTGTGGGAACATTGGCTTTTTTTTAATAAATTGTCACAAGGAACACAACGATATGCAATTTATAGGGATGTGGGGGGGGTGCACGGTAAGGGGGTCTGGCCCACAGACTATATAATATATATATTTATACATATAAATGATTGTATCAATTTTTGCAAATCATTTTAAAAATATTGCTAATTAATGAATGATTTTACAACAATGATTGAAAAACATTATACCATAAAAAAATTAATTACAACATAAAGTTGAAAAATTAACTAATAAAACAGTGAAAGTCTATAAAAGAAGAGTAGTAAGAGAATGATAAATACGTAATTAAAACATACTGTTGATTGTTGTAAGGTAGTTCATCTTCAATGATGACTGACTCTTGAGGTGGTATATTAATAGTGGGGCTTACGAGTTTTCCGTTAAGAAGTATGGATGTCTGATGAGTAGCCTATTAAAACAAATAAAATCGTCTCTTAATCAGTTAATGTAATTAATAATTACACTTTTAAAAAATATTTGTAACAATAAATAACTTACTCGATAGTAACTTTCATTTCTGAGTGGATTCGAAAGATGATGGCTAAGATTATTTGACTGACTTGTTAACCTATCAACAACAGGATTCCTCATGGCAAGGGTGTTTTCTAAAATAAGAAAAAATAATTAAAAGAATGAAGAGCGAAATATATATTAGCAAAATTAAAATTAATAATGTGCAAGGGAATAGAAATCAGGAGAATATTAAAGTGTGAAATGTACGTACAGAAACATAATTTTTAATTAAGTTTCTTTTTTTCTATAAACATACAGTTGTGTGCACAAAATTATTTTGTCTTTCATTGCATAGATTGATTAAATCTTTACCTTAAGCTAACTAATTCATTATAGAATTTCTTTAAAAATAAGTGACTTAAAGAAATGAACTATTAATACTAATGTAATGACTAGAAGATGAATTTATGTTTAATTTTTCATAAAAAAAAAATCTTTCTGTACAATATCACTTTAAAATTAAATAACATAAACTGATGAGGATATATATGAGCGGTGAAAACTGTGAATAAAAGCAATAACATGCATGCTTTGTGAAATATTAAATGAAAAATAAGACAATTAGTAAGAGGAACCAAAAACCAACCTAATTGAGCTTTATAAGGGGGCACATAAATAACAGTGTTATCTGAGTTCTCACTGTTTCCAGACGTTTCAGTAGCAGGAGGCTGACTGCTCGAACTGTCGTCTATCCGGCAGCCAAAAGTTTCAGTATTAGCTGTAGGGAAAGAAAAGACATCACATAAAGCAAGGGAAAAGAGCGATAAGACACAAATAATAACAGAATGGCAAAACAGAACAAACACAAGTTAGAAACACAACATTATAATTATACTAAGCTATAAACAAAACTATAATCTAAAAGCAACAACTGATATTTTACAATATTACTATGCCATGAAGAAAGGAATTACTTCTTTTAATTAAAGCAAATTAACTGAATAATTTAATTTCTTAACTATATTTACACAAACAATGATATATTTAAGATATATGATATAAATATTTCACAGTTAATAAAACATTGTTAACACTTTTATTTTATTTTTTATTAAAATCTTTTAAAATATAACTAGATTCCTGTCTCAATCAGCAGTTGAATCACCTTTCTCCACACTGGATAATTTATTTGATACTCTAATCTAGAAAACTCTACAGCAGGAACCCACAAGATCAATGAGTTATAGTGTATTTCCTTACAATAATCATATTAGAAATTTTTCAAGATTAAAACACTTCTCCTTACTTACTGGTACTGGCACTGGTGGAGAGAAATAGACTGGATATTGGGCTTATCGTGGTCCTTTTTGCCTTCCTCTGAAAGCTACCTTGAGCGTACTTACCAGAATGGAAATGTCACGATCCATTTGCCGGGACCTCCGAGAAATAATAAGTAACCGGCCCAGGTGGGAATCGAGCCCACAACGTTCAGAACCGGGCACTCAGAGGAGAGGGGAGAACCCATGCCCTAACGTGCTCGGCCATCCTGTTCTCTTTCCTTACTTAACATTTCATATAGAGGTAGGTAGGTGAAAGTAAAAACGCATTTGAAACAATAAAATAGATGGACTTATGGGCGCATAGCAATTTGTTACATGAAACGTTGAATGCAATATTGAGTGTTATTTTTAGACAGTTATAAAAAATAGAGGAATAATTAAAAAGAAAATGGTAAAACCAGCTGATGACTTTGCATCATTTTGTTCTTAAAAATTATCTTTTAACTACCAATTAAAAAATAAATCACAAAAAAATTGTATATGAGATATCAAAAGGTATAACTTTAAATTCTAAAATTATTCAAAAAATACAATGTAAAAAGTTTTCCAACGATAGAATAAATTTGTGACAAGCCGATCTTCTTCTTAGAAGCTTTGTGTTTTGTAATGCACAATTAACGTTTTAGTAAATATTTACTTTAGCCATATGATAATTTTTAAAAGTGTAACTATCCCCTTTAGATGGAAAGTGGGTTTAATATAAAAAAATAGAATGATATAGATTTCCTTATTTGTTAGTTATTTTTGTAAATCAGTATTTATTTGAATTTTTAGAATAATAATAATAATAATAATTCAACGATTTTTTAGATCACAATTTGAAGTGCCATTTCGGTACAGAAACTTCGTATGGTATATTTAGGATAGAATAGATTAAAATAATAACCTGAGGAATCCGTGAGCAGACTTGAGATAGAGTCAGACCTGTGCAATTTTCTTGCAACAGTGAGGGTGATATGGCCTGGGACAGGGCCCTCTGAACGGAGGAGCGCTCTTCGCAAGGTTTCCATGGCAACAGAGTTTGACTCACCAACCAATGAGACACCATTAACAGATAGCAACTGATCATTTGTCTTCAGACGCCCGTCCCTGAAAACAATGTAGTTATGAACTTTCTTCATCATGTAAACACAAAATTAGATTAAATTTTTTAAAAATTATAAATCGAAATTAAAAAATACACCACAGCGAATGATTATATATTTCAACTAAATCAACCTAACACCTACCTTGATGCAGCACCACCATGAAGTACACTCTTTACAAATATACCGAGGTCAAGTGGTGTTGACGACTGACTTCCCTGGACCCCTGCTGAAGTCTTTCCTTTAACAGAAACTCCTAGTCCTGCCTTTTCTGATTCATGCACAGGAATATCGAGGGTTAGGATCTCACGCTGCCTCCACGGATAGACTGTATTTTCTCCATCATCACTCTTTGATGACTAAAATGTATAAATTAGATATTAAAAAATTTCCAAGAAAAAACTAATATATCATAATTAACATGCTCTAATCAAAATTAATAATAAAAATTGTTTGCAATAAAACATACATGGTTTACATGATTCATTTGTGGTTCTTTATCGGGTGTTTTCATTATGTTGGGAGATGGTGTCGATGAAGTCATCTCAGGTGTCATCATTCCATCGCTCTAAAATATTTTATAACACAAATAAATTATAAAAACTAATAATCTTCGATGTTATAAGGACAATTATCATTATCTTATTAATGGCTCAATTACACGCTGCCAGTTAATTATTGCTGGTAGCAGGCAGCCCAGTGACTAGCAACCATGGCAGCTAGTAAACTAGCCTTAATTCAAATAAGAATGATTAAGTTATAATATAATTCATGTTCCTATAATTCATATGAGAATACAAACCGAGGCTGATGGGCTGTGTTGTCTGGAAACAGTAAGGCTGACTGATGAACCTGGAGGTACATTTCGTAACATAGCAACCACATCAGCTTGAGTTTTGCCAGTTAAGTCGACACCATCCACAGCTAGGAGCCTGTCCCCTGGCCTGAGGCGACCGTCCTCCACTGCTGCTCCCTAGTAACATCAGAAATTAATACACAATACTGACTAACAATATATATGATAATAGAGTAATATTCTTACCTTAGGTAAAATGTTTTTAATGTAGATAGGAGCATGCCCACCAGCAGGATTGTCCCGAGTTGTAACACTAAACCCAAGACCATAGTCACCTTTCGTGAGGCAAATTTCCACTTTCTTACCCAACTTGCGAGTGTTGCCAGTTTGCAAGCTGGCACCGGCAGCTGGAACTTTGCGGGTCATAGCAACTTTACTGCAACCAATCACACCTAAAAAAAATGAAGGTCGCAAATCATTCATATCAAACTAGCACAGCACTATAGAAGAAGGATTTTGAAAAATTACATCTTTCTTGACTTCCTATCATGTTGATAGGTTCAGCTCGTTCTTGCGTTAGACCTACAGACGTTGGCTTGGGAAGTGTCGGTGGAGGTTGCTTTTTACTGCTACTCCTACCTACACTTCCCAATGCTCCACCTTTGACAACTTTTAATCGCAGTTCAGGACATCTAAGGGAATCACGGAATATTTCCTGCACCCTGAAATAAAAATAATAGACTCAGAAAAAGAAGATAAGTTAATTTAAAATAAAATTATGAACAATTATTAAAGAGCTTTAATTATGTACTGAATAAATTAAATTTTAAAAAAGGAATCATTACACAGAAAAGGGTTGACCAAGAAGGTTGGCACCATTGATCTCGACCACACGATCCCCCACAGCTAGCCTACCATCCAAATCCACTTTTCCTCCTGGCTCAACTCCTTGGACCAGGAGACCTCTCTCCCCTCCTAATGAGTCATAATCAGGAACAACGTGAAGACCGAGGCTTCCGCCGCCAGTCTCAAGAGAGATGAATTCACTTCTCTCACTTCTTAAAAGATAAAAATAATCATAAAGATTTAAATTTAATTTTATCAAAGAACAAAAAATTAGGAAAATATTTAAAAAAAAAAAATTTGAAAAGATCCCTTACGGTGATTCTGTTGGTTGAGGAGATGTACCATGAGCCTGCCCAAGAGGTTCCCTTCTTTTATGCTCACGTGGTAATGAAAGTGACTGTAGTCTGTTATGTAAAATTGCCTTGTCAGCTGCATCACTCCATCTGTACCCACTAACAGATAAATTAAAGCATTAAAAGAGACTTATAAATTGTAGAAAACAAAATTATAAAATTGTAATAAAAATTATTGTAAATAAAATCTAAAAGTTCATCAGAGAAGAAAACCTAAATTATTTTGCCACATATAAAGGACTAATAGATAGGCCTGACAAGAGAGGAGGGCAGCCGGAACTGTAGCTCCTGGGCTTGGCCTCAAAGGGGTCCAGTCTGGTTTAACAGGTTTTATTTATTACCTTTTAAAATTTTAAAAATAAAACATTACATATATCATATAATAATAACATAATGTCTTTAAGTAATATTTTTGTTACATAAATTAGACAGAAAAAGTTTGGGTTTCAGTGGTGAATTTAATATTTGACAGTTACCCGAGAAAATTTGTTCCTTGAGATTCTCTCAACAGTCATAATAGACAAAATGAACATCATATGACCATAATATTAAAATAATTATGTTGATAACTTGCAGAAATATAAAATAATTACATTATTATTACTTTCATTATTAGAAAGATATAATATAATGTATATTTAAATTGAATTATATAATGAGTATTTAAATCTAAATGGAATGCTACCTCATTTCATTGAGCTTTTTAGACGAACGTATTAAAAACATTATAAAAAAAAAAAAAAAAAAGTAGTAAATAAGCTATTACATTGAACAATTCAAAATACTACTTACTTATCACCAAAAAATTGTATTGATAACCTATTAGATCCATCTCTTGCAAATGCTGGAGGAGGCCTTAAAGTTACTGGGTCTTCTTCTTCTAAGGTAATCCATCTATCATCCCTGCCATTGTCTCTATCCTCCTACAAAATCAAGCAAATTAAATTAATGGAAATAAATTAAAAAGTAAAGGGTGTGTTTTTATAACACGATACTGAGTAATAAATAAAACAGTAATGACAATAAAAACAGGGTAAAAATATTAAGTAAGAAATGATCAGTTTATAGAAATATTTATATAAAAAATAAATTTAGATAATTGCTGAAAGTGGGGAAGTCACAATAAAACTTTATATATATATATATATATATATATATATATATATATATATATATATATATAAAATAAAATACAATTTTAAAAATATATTGACAAATATATTTTACAATCTGAATTATCCAGAGAATTAAATGATTAGAAATATATTATGGAATATTATTCTAGATCCTCTATGATTCTAATGCAGTCCATTAATTCCATAACTACTGGTAATAAAAATGAATTTTGAGAGAAGTACTGATGTACATGTATAGAATTAAATGTTAGAAATTTAGGATGGTTACATATTAACTTTGCTAATAGTAAATAATACATGAATATTTTTTTTAAATAATCAATATTAGAATAACAGGTAAAGCAAACTAAGAACACTAAGACTTGAACATAAAAAACATTCCTTTGAAATTTTTTTTTTTTTTGAAGTTATATTAAATTTATCAGTATCTCACAAAATTTTGATTATTTTAAAATTAATTTGATACTTTATTTTACGTATAATTTTATTTTCACAGTTTAATGGCTCTGTACAATTTAAATGTATTAATTGGCTTTAGGGTTTATATTGAATTTTAACAAGTACCATTATTTCATATATTATATGTAGCCATAAAAAAATTATGACGTTTGTTTAGAACACTCATATATATATTTTTCTAATTTTAAGATTATTGGAAAATAGAATGTATCGCAAAAAAATGTAAAATTAGTTTTGACAGCAGTTCTTGTCTTGAACAAGGATTTTTTTAGAAATTTAATTGTCATTAAAATAAGGAATACATAACAATTTAAAATTTTTCAATAAGGATTCTAACAGAAAAAGTTTTCACTGACTTTGTTAATAAAAAATACCATAATATTATGAAAAATCATTAAAAGAGCAAGATTTGACAGCTGAAATTAAACTATTTTTATTTGAGGCATAAAGGTTTTAAATAATATTTCCCAACAAATTAGAAAAATTAAAAATACCATATCTTAATTTACAACTTCAAATTATCTATTGGTCGAATCTAAAACAGTAGCTATAACTGAAACCTGTTGCATGGCTAAAATTCCTAAAGATTGATATTATTTCTGATTAATTAAGTCACATAAATTTCAAACATATTTGCCTAAGAACCTTGGAAACACCTGCAAAATGGCCATGCTCTGAAGTTAATTCATAATTATATATCATCAAGAAGCTAAGAATTCTCAAGGTCAAATCAATTGAAACCTTGTTTATCAGCAAATGATTAATTCTCTCTCTTGGAGCTGGATGGAAAAACTGGTTTAGCTAAATAAATCTACTTAAAAAAAATGTAATTTCAAAACAAAAATAATAGTAAACACAAATAAAATTATTTAATCTTAATTGTATTATAACTCAAATCTTGTTGTAATGGATACATACAATATTTTCCTGGACCATTTCAAAAACTCTCCTGAAGTACAAAGTTAAATGTGATCAACAGTGTAACTACAAAACAGGTAGGGTGACAAGTACTTACTGAGATCTTATTTCTTAGAGTACACAGACAGTTCAGGGGTGAATATGGAGGGAGAAGGGGGACCAAGAAGGGGTCCCCAAGACAACTTAACCCTTAAGATGAAAACATTAAGAACAGCTGATCCAAAAAAGGACTATTTTATTATCAAATTGATTTAATTAGAAATATTTAAACACCTTAGTTGTCAGGTCTGAAATATCAAAACTACACTAAAATGTACCATCCTATACCAACATAAATCTTGGATGTGAGGATGATATATGAGTGTAGTTCAGTATTTATGTAGTAGATAAATATTTAAAAATGCAACCTTCTTATAAGATTTCATTAAGTAAGGTTTAGTCCTAATATTTGATTAAACGTATATTTTTTTTATGTAACAGTAGGAAAATCAGCGAGCGAAAAGTCGTACTCAACTTCAATCCCATAATTTTGTTCACATTACAATACCGATAGAATACACAGCAGAAACATATACCTGCCCAAGTAATTAGAAATAATTCATTCACTGCGTCTTTGTAAGAAAATCGGGTAAGTGTTTTGTTTACCTGAAGGCAAATGTTTCATCTTAAAAACAGCTTTAATTTACCTTAGGGGCGTTAAGAATAAGCCTGCTATTAATTCTGCCATCATAATTAATATATAAAGCAAATTAGTCGATTGAACTATACGGCTCCCTGTCTAAACATTTTTTTTCGATATATTAATTTTCAACATGAATCTTATTTGACCCCAATGTAACTAGTTAGAACTTGTTTTTTGAATTTGAGCGAATCTCGTTGCTTCACCGTGTCAGAATCGATAGTATGAGGAAATTATAAAACTTGGCGAAACGAAATCGAAGTTGCAACATCCAGCACACCGCCTCCCTATGTCCGTCCTACAGTCCATACTTCGTGTATTTTTTGTTCAATCTTAGGCTAACGAGTCTAATGGATATAGACAATACATATTAGGAGCATCAATGGCAAACTTCACCGCCCCAATGGGTCTCTTGATCACCAGCAATATGGTTGCGAATTAATAATCGTATTCACGACAAAACATTTACTGCTCTGAAAGCGGGTGCAATTAGATTAAAATTGGACCATTCTTTAGCCATTCTACCACTTCTCATTATAAAGAATAACGTTAAAAATTTTGTCCCGCGTATACTTATAAATTATATTTATCATAAATTATAAACTATCAAGACCTATGAGACTTGAAAGACAGGTATTCTTTCAACGGTTTCGGCAAGGAGAAAGTTCCCTTCAAACTAAATCCTCCCAAAAGGCGACAATGAAGCGACGCAAGGCCGACGAAGGTGAGGCACCGCCAAAGAGGTCAGCCCCGCGATAAGGTGGTTAGGTATTAACCCAGTTAAAGAGTCCTTCATGCTCTGCTCGCTTGGTCAACACCATCGACAACCGCCTGTTTTTTTTAAGGAATCGTTCTTGTTTGTTATATTTATGAAGAATCCTTAGTTGAAGTGAAAAAAACATCTTGGCCTTCTCATAGTCCGCGGGTCCAACGATGCTGAACCACGATTTGCCGTAGTCGTTCAACTGTATCCTTGAGAACTAACTCAAAAATTGTCTTACTCCGATGCCTTCTAGGAATATTGTTTAGTTTACACTAAGGTCAGGTTACTTTATGATCTATGCGAATGTAAATAAATTATGACATTGCCAACCATTTTTTTTTTTTTTCAGAAATAGAATCACCTGGAGCAGGTGATAGCTAATCAGGATTCAGTGAATTTTTCGGGAGTTTATTTATTGCCTACGATTTAAACTAAACTTGTGGGTTATGATCAGGGCATTTTTTTCAAATGCCAACGATTTGTTCAAAGGCTCCTGGATCTTATCCTCTGGAGATACGACTTCAAGAGTCAGAGGCTGGAATCGGTTTTGTGACAGAAAACTAGTGAGTGGACCAGGTGATGAAAAATGACTCTGCAGAAGGGAGTTATTAAGGAGTGGAATGGACGGTCGTTCACAAGTGAAAAGGACACCACCCTAAAGAAGTTATTCCTCAATGTTCACTCCAGGTTAGAAGTAAAGTTGGTCATACTGATTACTAGTTTTCACAGATTCTCACGGGGCACGGTGGGTTCAGAGAAGAAGTGAACAAACATGATAAGAACATCGAGCTCCGTTGTATGGAGTCCCTGTCCCTGGCCATGGCCCAAAGCATAATGAAGACTTGTACTGCTATGAAGCGAAACAGGTAGTCATTGGGAAGATTTGCGTCAATGAAATAGGCCGAGTATTTTCTATTCCTTGCTTATTATTATCTATTATTAGAAGATGGAGCTCGAAGGGTCCGCATTTTTTTAGGATAAGCAAGTTGAAACATAAAGAAAAATATAACATTTCACTACCGAGAAGAACAATAATAAGAAAAAAACCGAAAAAAGATAACCGAAGGTGAAGTCGAAGAAGACTTATTTTAAGAGTTGATTAAGCGAGAACAAGACCCTGCTGAGTAACGAGCGTGTTCATAAGTAAAAAAAAAAAAAAAAAAATTATATTGCAGAACATTTAAATATAAATCTACAGAAAACAAATATTTGTTTATGAATTTATTTGTTTGGTAGCATAAAGTTTTTACAATGCATTACAAAAATAAACGTGAGTAATTCTGAGAGACTCCTATAGCCAGTGGCAGAACACATTAAAGAGACTTTCAGAGAAATCATTAGTACCTACCACAAATGCCAGGAGTAAGGATAATCACCTATACTCGTACATTCCCTTTTTTGGTATCTTTGAGGAAAATCTACAATTGCTAAATGAGGCAAGATATGGTCATGTGGATTAGTGGCAATAAAGTCCTTATTAACGAAGGAAAGGTGATCTATTTCTGGATGGTTCTATAACTTGCTGGATATATTGGATTTTGGGATCGTTGGGTACAAACCGTAAAGTTAGGAGTATAAAAATGACATGACGGTGGGCTAAAAGGTAAGGTCGCTACAAGCATTTTTTTTGGGAGGAGTAGGATTTAATTTTTTCCTGTCTTTTCACCTCTTGTCATTCTCAAATAAAACTCATTAAAAAAAATATCAGTATTTTAGGTTCATTACTTCAAAATAAATGTCATCATTAGATCATACCAACTGGCATATTGTCTGAATTCATGATAAAAAAAAAAAACCGGGCAAGGGCTAAGGAGGGAGTCAAAGGGGACATTGAACCGGGTGACAAAATTTAGGAGGCGGAAAATTACAAACCTAATTTTATTTTCAAGTTAAATAAAAACAGTTGTTTCTGTTTTACGATTGTTTTGTCCTGAATTCAGTCAATATAGTGAAATGAAGGATAACACT